GCCCCCCCCCCCCCCGCTCAATTGCTTCCCGGGTTGGCGATACCCACACGCGTCCACGCTATGGCTATTGGGTCTTGGTGGTTGCACCCCCGCCCGGTAACGAACATGATCCGATCCAATCTTTGTTTTTGTCGGCCGCACCCTGGATGTTCTTCTCAAGAGAGGCTCCTCCCATCTACAATGACCCGCAATTCCTATCCTGTCCCCTGCTTCCCCTCCCATCCTTTCCCCTGTCCCGTTGTTTTCCTCCTCTCCCAGCGGCCGTTCCGCATCACTCACGTCAACAAGGCGTGGACCGAGCTGTGCGGCTTCGAGCTCGAGGAGTGCGAGGGAAAGAGCCTCTCCATCCTGCAGGTGCCTGCCCATTCCTTCTTTGTTTTCTTCTTTTCGATCAACAGTGTAGCGTATGATAGTGTTGGCAGAAGTACGGCAGTGGTGTGGTATTCGCGGAGCGTGGGAGTACAAGCACCGGTATTCGCATTCGTAAGATGTTGGTGGTGGTGGTATGGGGAACCGACACAGGCATTAGGCAGCGATTGTTGAGGTATGGTACGTGTTGTTGTTCATGGAGCTTGGAAGTGTAACCAGCAGTAGCCGTGGTCGTGGAATGTTTTGTGGACGTAGCAGCGGTAGTGCTGGTGGTGGTATGGGGAACCGGACACCGGGATCAAGTCATGATTGTTGAGGCACGGCCGGTGCGAACGTGGGGGTTTCGGCGATGGTGGTGGGGGAGAGAACGAGGGTGTGTGTGTGTTGAGCACGGATGACAAGGATGACGGCGATGACCAACATCCCGAGTTCCCGTCCATGAGCGACTTGCAATAGAGGAGCGTGATGTGTAATCGTCCGGAATGACCAGCAACTGCTAGCCTGTAGAAGCTTGCTAGTTTGGAGTGTTGAGAAAGCTTGCGCACTCCATGACAGGCGTGTTGACCGTAACCTTCCGAACGAGCGCAAGCACAATCCAGTTTTATTGCAGTGCGCTCTGGCATCAACTCTATCCATCCTGCAAAACGCAACCGATCCGGCAGGGTCCTGAGACAGACATGACGCGTGTGGACAAGCTGTGCAAGCTCTCGCAGAAGGGCTACGCGACGTCGATGGTGGTGACCAACCACAACAAAAAGGTGCTTGTACTTCGCGACTGCCGTTGCTGATGTTTCTGCTGCCGCTGGCACGTTCGATGCCTCGCTCTAGAGTGGTACCCCCTGTTCATCCATCGACGTGCGTGTGTCATGTGGAGGGAACGGCGGCGCTCTCTTGTCTCGGTCAGAGTAAAACTGCTCACCCGCTTTTACGCCGATGCCAGCGCCAAATTTTTGGTCCTCTGCCTCTGTTGTTGGTGCTGTCGTGTCACACCACATCGAAACTTGCCGTACCGCACCGTATTGTATCATACCATCCCATTCCGCGGCTTTGTACGTTGTCTGTTTGGCCTTTTGTCACTGTCTTTCGTCTGTCGTTTGTGCTGTCGTGTCACCCCATGGAACGTTTCCGTGCTGCACCGTGTCGTACTCATCCGTACCATACGGCGGGTTGTTCGCCACTCAATATCAGCCCTTGATTTTCCCGTCTTCCTCTGCCGTTTGTGCTGCCGTGTCACACTACATCCACCCACCCACCCAACGATATGGTTACTGTACGCATACAGGGGGAGCTGTTCCGCAACCACCTCCAGTGCTACCCGGTGTCGAGCGACGAGCCCGGCGAGATCTCGCACATCGTCGGCATGCTCACGGCCATCCCCTCCGAGAACAAGAACCCTCGCGCTTCCTCGACCCTGCCCGGCGGTGGAAGCGTTCTAGGCAGGCGGTGAGATTCTGTTCCGTAAGTCTTGGAGCCGGAAAATTAACAACAAAAAGTAGAAGGAGGCGTTTCTCGAAGAGCTGCTCGCGCAAGGCGAGAGCAGCAGCGGCGGCGGCAGTAGCGGCGGCGGCGGGTGGTACTGCAGGAAGCACGCGCCGTCCGCGGTGTTGGTGCGGCCTATCGCGGCGGACTGTGCTGCTGGTCGCTCGTACAATAGGGGGGATCGGTGTGTGGTTTGGTGTGGGTTGGGGTCGGGCTGTGTTTTTTGGGTGCTCTTTGCCCATGAGTACTGCGGGGTGGGGACAGGAGATAGATAGAAGCGTCTCGCGCAGCAGTACCGATGGGTTTCTCTCCTCTCGCCGGTAGCTAGAGAGGGAGGGAGGGAGGGAGGGAGGGAGGGAGAGAGAAAGAGAGAGAGAGAGAGAGAGAGAGCCGACAAACGGGCGGGAGAATAATTGTGCTGTGTAGATTTTCATGTTCTTCAAGTTCACCTCTTGTTGATGTTCATAGAACCAGGGGGGGGGAGAGTATCTCGGCTTGAAGTCGCGGCGACGACAAGCGGGAATCGAGGTGGGCGTGTAGAGTTGTGCCTTCGATGGATTTGGTCGTTAGCACCGTCCGCCAAAAACGAGCACTACGCGTAGTTGCGCGCAACTGCGTCGCATCATGTCGCGCTAGCGTCGGCCTGCCGATGTTTTTACGGCGGGCGGGTAAATCGACGGAATGCGGGTGGGTAGGCGTCAATATTATATCACAGAGCGTGGGGCGCCCATGGGTGCGTGTTTGGTAAGTCGCCTTTTTCAAGCGCGGGCGCAGGCGTTGTGTGTGCGTTGGCGCGTGCGTTCGGCAAAACGACGCCGCATTCTTTCAGGCAGCGCGTTGGTGCCGTGCGCTTTAAACGAGACTGGCAGGTACAGCGAGCGGCGACGTGCCTTCTGCGGCTCAATCAAGGGGCGGGCGTGGGGCGACCGTTGTACATAGCCATGTTCCTGTTCCTTGACCTTCGCCGCGGTACGGGTGGGCTCTAGGTAGATGCCGTGTGGTTCCATCGAGGTGATGCCGTGTCGTTCGCGGAAAGCAGGCGCTGAGGCAATTGAAGAGGGGAATCGCGCCGCTATTATGGGTTAATCATTACGGCCTTTCGGCCATTGCCGCGGGTGGACAAAGACTATCAGGACCGTAGATTTATGAGTTGGCATTGTGGAGCACCCCCGTTCGCGTACGTGCGGCCCCTCGTCGTCTGGTCTCACGATCTCAGTATGTAGTTCGCCTGGGTCTTTCGGTCTGATGGAGCGGCCTGTAGATGTCAAGGGGTGACTTTTTTTTTTTGCCGTTCTCGTCGTCGCTGCTTTGCTGTTGCGCGTAGGCCGTTTTGTTGTCGAGAGGCAGACGTGAAGGAAAGCAAAGTGACCGGACTCACGCACGTAGAGCCTTGCCGTCAGACTGAAGGATGCGAAACCACGTGTGGACTGCTCTTTGATTTATTCTGCGGAAATACTGCTTTGTTTCTTTTTTCTTTCGGCCTTTACGGATTTAATCGTTGGGTATCTCGATACCAAGCTTTGGGTTTTTTTCATACTGTACGCGGGGTGCGTTCGTGGGAGACTTGTCACGTTTCGTACTCGAAACACGAGATTGCAGGAGGGCCGTATTCCTAGACGTTCCGTAGGATGAGTAACGTTAGGCCGAGCGTGGCTGCGTGTATGGGTAGACTGCTGTAGTGGACAGGGGGAGAAGGTTCTGGAACCTTGGTGTGTGGTTGCTTGCTGTGCATGCTAACAGAAGCGGGGGGGGAAGGCATTCTGATGTTTCGCATGCCTTAGCTGTTACACCATGTGACCGCGCGGCCTCGAGAGGATTGGGCATGGGGTGGGGGGAGTGGGTGGTTTGGGCCTCCTCGGACAAATTGGAGAGTGAAGGCGAGAGAGAAGCGTAGGCGGCGGACGTCTCACCCACCTGCCAAGGGTTTTCGGCTAATCAGAATTCAACTTGATCGTAGCAAAACGGTCGACTAAGACACAAACGACGGGCACTCGGTATTTTCCATTTATTGGTGTAGGTGCTCGTGCCTGCCGGTTCTTCGTCAAGAAGCCGGTGCTGCCATCAGGCAATGGCCGTAGCACGCAAAGGGTTGTGTCTGAACCACGTGAGAGCTCGCTGTGTGAACCTCACATTCCTTTACGTGTTTGCACAATGCAGCAGATGCTTATATGATTCACGTACACATGGGTATCTCCGTCAAACTCTGCTGGTAGCGCCGCCAACAAAAAGTCACGCAAAAGTGAAACAAACAACGTAAACATTTATTATGTATGTGCGTTCGGACGCACAGAGAGCGCCCGAACGGTAGGGGATGGAGACGCACCCAGACCCTATTCTGCCTTCTTGCCGCGCCATTACCCAAGTGGTATAAAAAACCTACCAAAATCAAAGGTAAATAATATGACCGAAAAGGTGTAGTACGCCAACACCCAATGAACTACGGTGAAGTCTTCCACCTGCACCTCCGTGGGCATCGTTAGTTATGCCCCCGGTGCAATTCAGAAGGTGAAAAATAGATCAACAGGCGAATAAAAATACTTCACACGTGCACGCATGCAACCCCAACGAAGTGAGTGGTCTACAATACACCAAACAAACTATTCGAGGCCATCATGTAGATGGTAGTCGATCGACTCGAACAAAACAAGAGAAATCACGCCGTCCCACCCTCTGGTGGCTGTTCGCGGAAGAAGCGATAGTGTCTACACATTTGACAACATTGCATGTCAAAAGGTGGTGCAAAAAGATGGACTCTCCACCCGCAAACACCTGCACAGCAGTAGACTTATCGGCGTGCAAGCTCAAGGTGATTGGGGGGCGGGCAGTCTATGGCACAACAAGTTGAAGGTGTTGGTGACCCTCCTCCCAGTAAAAGGAATGTGTTCCATAGGTCGATGTGGTTGTCTTCAGCCAGCCATGCTGCGTTGTTAGGCCTAGCCGCACGGCACGGCCGCTTGGGCCTCGCCTACCTCTCGCATCTTGGTCAGAGCGCTGTTTCGCGCGTGCCAAATCTTTGTAGCGGCCGTCACGGCGTCCTGAGAGTGAAGCATGCACACGTGAGCCGCGAGCACGCAACTTGAATGAGTGAAGCACAAGCAGAGTCGGTCGACATGGCAGCATTGCATTGTACGTGGCATAGTGAGATACTTAGTAGAGTTCACTGCAACAGGGCATAGCAACCATCATGTTGTTGGTGTAGAGAAGCTTGTGGACCAGACAAAATAGACATCACGTAAGTGGGTTCGTGGGATTCCACAGAAAAAAACACTCCAACATCATTGATAAAAGGGTGAAAATTGTGCAATTACCTCTTGATGAAACTGTCAGAACCTTGCGTAGTGTGTGTATGGCGGAAAACATTCATTCCGCCGACGACAACGAAAATTCGTTGTTACCACGACTCTCCCGACGAAAAGTATGAATGCTGGTCGCTACGGCTTTCGGATAGAAACGCTTCCTTCCCAATACAAGGCCGCGCACAGTCTGCTCTTTTCAGGACCACCCACTTTTCTTGAAAGCAGGACAGATAGGGTTTCTACGTTCCCCCCCCCCCC